TATATATATATATGTATATATACTGTATATATATGTATATATACTTGCTTAAAATTACTTTGAAGTCACTGTCAAGAGTAAAATCACTTTCCAAATATGGGTGTAATGATCAGACGTATTCCTTTCTCCTGTTTAAAGGTTTATTTTACTAATCAATGGACTGGATAATTTTGGCCATATCAAATAATTCAGCAATTTTGTTTAGTTCTTTTGTTTGTTTTTTTAGATTCAGTCTGCATCTGTCTCAAGTCATAGTTGTATAAAGTATCTTTGTTTTAATAACAGCAAGAAAGAAAAAGTGTGCTGTGATGGAAGATAGAAGATCACCACAAGTGCTCAAGGACTGGGAAAAAAAGGTGAAAAAACTCAGAAAGACATTTCTTTCATACATCTAGTATCAAAGAGTGCTGAAAGTCAAACAGATTGTGGGCTTGGTGGGATAAAAGAGTTAGTGTCTACTGCAGCATAAATGCAAAGAGATTATTAGACGTAATAAACAGGCTGCTCATAGACTAGACTACTCTAATTTTGTGCTATTTCCATCAATAGTGAAGAAGTGGAAAAATGCATCAAAGGATCTCGAAGTCGCTACTCTGTCATCTTTTTAAGGCAAGCTATGATAATAGCCTATAAGCTCTTTTCATTGCAGCGGTGACATTCTCCGGAAAAAATCGTTTTCACCCCAGCCTTGAACTCTAATTCTAGCCCCAGAGATGTTTAGCTTTGAGGAACTGCCTCTGAGTAATCCAGAGTCTATTAAAACCAATCTGATCACACAGAGTTCAGATCATGGGATGCTGTTATGATAACTACAGTGTGCCTAACCTCTCTCCTCCATGAAATGCCACAGCGCAGGGACTAAGTAATGGATTTACGTAATGTTAGCACTTACTGACATTATAGAGCAAGGCTAACGCCGTACCTGTGCAAGTTAAATGACAGCTTTTGTTTTAGTCCCTTGCATTTAAGCGTTGTGAGGCAAAATGCTGCTCAGAGAACAAAGCTTGGTGCCTTGAGAGAAAACGCGGAACAATGGAAGGTCGTCCTCCGTGTGGTTTTGCGGGAAATTGACATCAAAATAAGAGTTGGTCA